TGCTGAAGACGGGACATTCTTCCACCCATAGCAGAACGACAGTGGGAAAGTTCAATACATCTAATCCGTCCACTACCTTATGAAGATTTCCATAAGCTGAAATTTCAACTTCTTTCTAGATTCATGTGTGTTTTGAAAGCTGAAAATAGGAGTTTATATTAATTGCATACAGCTTAAATTGCCATACAAGCTGTAGTCAGTGAAGAATCCGTTTTCATCATCCATTCAAGTGACTGTCTGCCCCACTGACATACTTTGTCAATGTAAAAGGCAAATTCATAGTCCAAAACACCACTCCTGTGTCCACTGCTGAGGGGCAGCACATACTGTGTAACTGAAAAGCATTTACTGAAAACCTCAAGCAACTGAACCAGCAAATTTAAGTCTACTTATCTCCATTTTGCAGCTAAAGAAACTAAGGCACACAGTTCATGATTTGTCCAGTCTTACAGAACAAGCCAGGAGCAGAACAAGGAATAAAAGCTGATTAACCGTTATAACAACACTATAATTGAACATGTCCTTAATGTTAGGACAAGGAAGAAAAAAAACCACACACCCAAGACAAAGTAATTTTATTAGTAACTCAGAAGAGCCAAGTGCTGCATTCTACTGCAAGAAAATCACAGTTTTATGTACCAAGGCAGAACTTGGGAAGCTGCATACTAAAATGCTGATTATGCAAATTATCTTATGAACATTTTTAGACAAGAATGAAACAGGGTTTATTTTCTTTAATTAAAAAATGAATCCTACATAGTTCATTTGCATGGATTCAGAGCAGAATGAATATTAATGTAGCCCACCTCTCCCAATTCTACCTGCTAGAAATATCAAGAAAAGGGATAGAAAATGGATTCCTGAGCAAGTGTAAATGTACCTGCAAGGTTGCTATCACCTTCGTAATGTCACAGAGACGAGGAGAAATCTTAGTAACTGGAAAAAGGCAAACGTTACACCTATCTTCAAAACAGGCGAGAAAGAGGAACTACAAGCTAGTCAGCTTCACTTCAGAACCCAGGAAAATTAAGAAGCAAGTTTTCATGGAAGCCATTCCAGGCACATGAAGTACAAGAAGGTGACCAGAAACAGCCAGCACCCATTTACTAAAGGCAAATTGTGCCTGACCATGCTGACTGCCACCTAGGAAGAAATGACTGGCTCCATGAAGGAGGGAAAGTGGTGAATGTCATTTACATTGACTTTAGCAAGGTTTTCAACACAGACTCCCAGAGCAGTCTTGTGGTCAGACTAGAGACAGACTGCAAGGTGGTGAAAAGCTGCTGGACCATCAGGCTTGAAGTAGTCAGTGGTTCAAGTCTAACAGTAATCTGGTTATGAGCGATGTTCCTCAGCAATCAAAACTAGGGCCAATAATGTTTAACATCTTCATTAGTTAGACTGGAGAGAGTCCAGCCAAGGATACTGGTTTGTCTAGCCTGGAGAAGAGAAGGGTAAGAGGGGACCTACTAGAGGTCTCCCACTAGAGGAAAGGATTGTAGAGAAGACAGAATCAGATTCTTCTCAGGCATTCAATGAAAGGGCTAGAGGCAACAATCACAAGCCGCCACAAGGGAGTTCACATTGGCCATAAAGAAAAAAATTATTGCCCATGACAGTAGTTAAGCACTGGAATGGGTGCCCAGAGAAGCTGTGAAATCCCCGCCATTGGAGATTTTCAAAACTTAGCTAGACAAGGCCATGAGGCACCTGATCAAATTTTGAAGTTGGCCCTACACTGAGCAGTTGATTGGACTAGATGACCTCCACGTGACCTTTCAACCCATTTTTTCCTATGATTCTGTGATTCTAAGAGTATATGCAAGTGTAAACGGTGAAAAAAAAACACCATTTACATTTTTTCTGATAGAGCTTCAGGAGTTTTCACATATCAGGTTTCAGAGACCATTACTGTGCTTCTTCAGTCAAAAACTTCATATATTGTTTCCGAGCAGGAAAATGATCAGCTGGACGGTTGTATGCTGTCCAGACTGGTTCTCCAACAAATAGCCTCATTGCCTTCACGTAATTCTGTCAAAGAACAAGAAGTCACAAATAACATAAGAGCTCCCTTCCACAGGATCTTAATTCTGAAGTTAACGGTTTAATTTGCACTTCTGTTGCAATTGTCAAAAGCATTTCAAGATGGATTGACAGCTCCACATGTTCCAGAGAATTGTACCACTATGCTGCTTTCCAGCTCCCAGCTACTGCAGTGGGGGGTGTTGCAACTAGTCAGTGCCATATTTGCATCGCAAACCATAGCGCCTCCTGGTCGGGCAAGGAGAGAGCTGTTTCAAAGAAAACAAAAAAATACTCTTGTGCAAATCATTTTGCACTAGATCCACAACACTGAGCAATGTGGAAGCTAATTCCTAGCTGCTTAGTCATGCGATGACACTCACAGTACCCAAACTCACTACACAATGCTTGAGGATATCAGAAGCCTCACTCAGAGTGGGAGCCATAAAAGCTGAATGGGAAATGCTTAAACCAGCCAACAAGTAATGCTGTGGAAAGTGGTAAGTCTTCAGACTTCAACAGAAAGAAGCAAGAGCCCCCACTGCCAGCTAATCAGGCCAGAAAGTGCAGCTGTGGAAGCAGAGAAGGGAATTTTACATCCCTGAGAAGTGCTCTAACTAATGAGTTAGGGGGAACTCGCCTCTCCTCTTCTGTTACCTACACTGCAAGTTTAGGCCCTACCTGTTTTGTAAACACTACCAAGTGCTTATCTTGCATCTCGGTGCTCTGCAATGTCCAGAATAAAGTTAGGCACCTGAAGAACTTAAGTTCTTTATGTACTTCCAGACCCTTCAGTTAAGTGGGAACTTGAAGATAGCCTTCCTGGACTACAGTCTTGAAAAGTATATTTAAGACATCTTGATGAGATCTCAATCCATGCCCAGCCCTCAACCCATATCCCCTTATATTTGTCCACATAAAGAAAAAGCCTTAAAAATTAGCAGCTGTTGCTGATTCACTGTGAATCTCTAAATGCGGACATTAAAAGCTAGGCTTTCCTTTTCTACATACATGATATCTGCTACTCAGGCAGCTGATTCAATATTATAGCACATACAAGGCTATGCTAGAGATGGGGTTTTGCAACACACAGAGAAAACAGGACAAATTCCCCTCACTTTCCAGGGCTGAGGCTGAGATTACAAACATAGGTGCCCAGAGCATGACTATGTGTGCAATTTCACAATCCTATGGCCAAAAATACCCTCCTAAAGCAGGTCACTTACTGTGAAGGCAACGTTCAGCCTAGCATCTCTTAGCTGAAAGTAGCAGCTCTAGACCTTTAAATTATTCTTTCCCTGAAAAGTGATTAGCACTCATGAAAAATGCCACTGCTGCACACAGATATGCTCAGTTTATCCCCAAAAAAGATAATCAAGAAGGCAACACGGAAGGATCCATCTCCACACCTCCACAATGAAAAGTAGTGGCAACAGCGTGCGGGACAGCCGCAGGGCTTGGCACACCACCTTAACATCAGATACACTACAGATATCACGTGGCAATGACCTGCAGTTACAGCCGATGAGCTGAAGCTAGATTTGTGACCTAGAGATGAAAGGTTCAGATGCTATGAATTATTTAGTATTTTTCATATTCCTATTTCATACTTCATAATACAGTTTGCTAATGAACTCCATCTCATAGCATGCAGTTACAAATATGAAATATATTCACATATATTTGTCATCAAAACTTACTGTAATCTATAATAACATACATTCTCATCCAGTGTAAATCGGTGATATATGCCAGCAGGGAGAGTGATCATGTCTCCTTTTTCCATGGAAATCCGTATCCATTTGTCATTCTTGTCTCGAACATCAAAATAGCCAGATCCATCTAAGACGTAGCGAATTTCATCGTCTAGGTGCAAATGTTCTTCATAAAATGTTTTTATCTAGGGATAGTAAATGCCTCTTAGAATTGCTGAAGACAGGAAAAACTGCAAAGAAATCTAGTAGAAACACTTGGCAAAGCAGACAAAAACAGACACAAAGTGATTTAACTAATAAATGTTAACATGGCTGAAGTGACTAATTTGGTCAGCCAGACTCAGTCTCAGGACACTTGTAACGATGTTGCTGTTCTTCCTTTGGAAGATATCACTGACAAGAAACAGAAGATATGGCTGCACATAACCACTCTCTGAGTCACAGTAACGCTCAAACCCACTTGAGAGAGGAGAGGGCAACGCTTCCTACCACAGGATTTGGCCCCTGCAGTTGTTAACTTTGACCATTATGTGCCCTTTTTTCCTGAAATGCAAAAAAAAAGATAGAGGAAGATTATCACTCTTTTTTACGCTTGTTTGAGGTTGAACTAGCTCCACAAGCTACCACACCTCATTTTCTACATCAGAAAAGTAATTATTGCCAAACATGGCCCACCTACTGCATTATGTGAACAGTACGTGACTCATAAATCAACCATCAACATACTGAGGCCAGAGTCCCAACTCCAGGCTCTTTCTTCCTAGACAGCAGCAGCAGCACTCTCCTGGAATGAAGAATTCTTTGAACATTTCACAGCACAGAATAAAACAGGCTTTAAAGGTTCAACTAGCAGAGATCTGAGCTAGTAAGTCCACACAGAATAGTGCAATGCCACATTGCACCATCTGCTTAGGTCCGGATGCTGTTTAGCCACACTAGCTCAGGCATCCCTGAAACTTACTTCTCAACCCTTACTGGTTCAGCCGGGCAAAACGCCCTGCCAAAATCACATCTTCCTATCAGGTAGAGGCCATGCAGGCAACCTGAGGTCCCATCTAATGCTAATCCTCAGTTACTGCATTCAAGTCAGAACAGCATACCAACATCCTGAGACAGGGAAGAGAAAGTTCCTTCTGCAACGCTTATCTGAGAACCTGACAGCACTCACATTCTCCTGTTTTAAAACAGGCAGGATATCGACTTCCCAAGTTAAAAAAAAAAACTTCTTAAAGTAATGCGTCCTTCATATTCCATGATGTTAACATATACTTTGAAAAGATGCATTTTGCAAGCAGTCAGACACTAAGGTGTACTTTGGTTTAGGGGTTTGTCAGCCTTCAGAGCCCACAGCTGGCAACAGCCTACCTTCATCCAGATGAGGATCTCAGAATATTTGGAGGATTCTATTTGTAGGTATCTTAGTTTCAACATAACACATAGTTATGGAAAGTATTCTAAAAATCTTTGAAGATAACCTATGAAAGTAAGAGACCTACCCTCTCTTATTTTAAAAATAATATCACAACTACCTTTTGAAAGATAAGGACACTAGTATAGGATATATTTTAAACATGGAAATAATCTCATCTCTGAAGAGCAGGGTCTGTGTATGCATGTCAGAAGCTGGCTGCACACTCTAGTGGTAGACTTCAGAGCTCAAATCCTCATTCAAAAGCAGTGACTTGCATACCTTTTCTTCATAATTTGGAAGCTTGTCTTTTTGTATAGTTATTATATCCATCCAAGAATAATTTTCTGCTTTCCGAATCTCTTTCAGACATGGATCAGTCTCATAGTTATCAGCATCCAGCTAAAGAATATGCAGAAAAAAAATGCATTCAGTGCTTAACAGAATTCAAAACACTAATGTGGAAAAGCCTAAGCAATCAAGAGCGTCAAAGGAGAGGCAAATGACTTGAATGGGTAGTTAAGTTAGATCCTTATAGGCATACAGGCCGTGTACCACTAGCTTCCAAGACAGAAAGTTCAACGCATTAGTGCATAAATAAATATCATATGTCAAAGGATATACTGGATACTACCCAATCCAGTGGAGTTACTCTCTAGTTATCATGTAGTCTAATGAGAAAATTAAAAATGATAAAAACCTGACCTTTCAAAATCAGCATGGACTTCCCAAAAGGGCTTACTGTTGAAGAAAATTAACCTTGTCTTCACACACGGCTCCTACAGTCTGTGTATCATTCCAGAGCCAAATTCATTACACTTAATTATATCCTGTACTCCCGCAGAAGGAAATTATCTGGAAGTTCTTCCTGTTGCTGCTGCATCCCAGTTTCTTACGTTCGGAAACACTAGCAGAAACATACGTGATTTGTACCAGTTACTTTCACTACTGCTTTTCGTTTGGCATGACGTGCTTCCCAGAACACAAATTTATTGTGGTATGGAAAACAGCAGCAGCATGACAGCAACAAATATGATTAAACTAAGGAGTGACAACTCTGGGGTCTTCACTGGTTATTTCAGAACTGTGAAATTGTTTTGGATAGAACTGATTTTCTTTGCTCAGCACTTACAGTGTCACATCCCTGAAGGTGGGAGAGATGCTAATAACACGGAGAAATGAAAGGCTATCTCCGGTTAGGTTATCTATCTTACATACGAGCAAGATTTTCAGTTGCTTACTAATCCTTGCGGTATGCCCTTACCTTACCCAGAACTGAACATACTTCCAAGACTTAAGTCTCACCATCAATATATGTCACAGTCCCCCAAAGATACTCTCATCCTCTAGTATCAGTTTTGCTACACTCCAGCAAGTGCAGGAGATATGGTTACAGGGGAAAGAAATCAAGAGTTCTTCATGAATACCTTTTACAGTTTGATTAGTAGCCTGCGTCAGAGATTCTCCATCAAGTAGCTCTTCCCTCTAAACCACCCTTAAAATGTGGAAATGTGACACAGTCTAACCAGGCTTGTGCTCTGAGTCAGGAAATCACGTGGAAGACGGATCACGGCTATTTGCTAATTATGTCACACACACAAACCTGCTTCATTTGTCTCCACTGATCTCATTCAGCATCTCTGAATTTAAAAACATAATCAAAACTCTCCCAGACGTTTCCTTCGCCTCACAGGAGGCCTAAGGGTCCCCTGTTGTTTCTGTGCCATTTCTGGAAACGCTAACATGGAAAACGGGGTGGGTGGGTGGGAGGGAAAGGTTGCGACCACAGAAACGTGGCTCGGCTCACACTCTCATCTGCCTGTCAGTTAGAATTAAAACCCACTCAGCACTACACAGCACGATTCCTCTTTTGAGTGCAATTTTCACTTTTCAGTTGTTTTTAAAAACACTGGTAAATTTTTTTTTTAATCTTCAAAAACACCGATAGGCCCAGCTGCACTACGACCCAAACCTGTCCTCCCTCGCTGCGGGGCGGACAGGAGGGGAGGGCAGAGGGGCTCGTCCAGCGGACCCAGTCCGAAACCTACGGCACTTGGCCAGG